GTGTAGGACAGAGAGATCGACTTCAAGTACATACCTACCAAGGTGATGATTGTTGATCCACTCACAAAAGGGCTAGCTCCAAACGTTTTTACAAATTATGTAAGGGAAATGGGGATGAGAGAAAGTGAGGAAGAGAGATTGTAAGGCCTCCAAATAGCAAGTAAGAGATGTTAGGTTTATGTAGCCTTATGAGAGATTGTATAAAGCATATTTAATAAATGAAACATAAACTCAGTAGGAGTGTGGTCTTTTTGTGGATCATACTAGGAAAATGTTATTTGCTGATACTCGGACTAAGCACGATGAGCTAGGCTAGCCGAGGTTTGGAAAAACCCAAGATACTTAGGCATAGGGATCTAACCGATAATAGTTTAATAGGTTAACCCTTGATGAGGTTGGCGTATGCATGGATGAGAGCCAAGGGGCTGTGTGGCCCGTGCGTGTGATGAATAGCCTTTAGAGACTAGGCTAAGACCTTATCGTTATATCATCACACGACATGTATATAGATAGTCCAATGAGGGTGAAGCGTATACATGTGTGAGAGATTACCTCTATGTACCATAAAGTCATGGTTGAATCATGGTCTAGAGGAACATGAATTTTGTCTCTAGGGGAGAACTTGAAATCCATAAACTGGGATTGCGTCCCCTAATCTATTGGCTTACTTTGATGGTCCAATTATGAACCACTGCAGTGGACTATGGGTCATGGAAACTGCTGGGTCAGTTTGAGAAAGCTACGCGGATCGTGATTAGCAGTTGAAGGTGAAGTGCTTCCATATATTAATAATTTTCTAGATCTAGCGGATCCGATTCCCATCCAAATTAATTAATTTTAATTAATTTTATTGTATGTGATTTTTAGAATATTTATTTGAATTTTTGTGAAGCTTTTAATATTTTATTTGGATTTATAAATTAAGATAAATTAATTTTTCAATGTTTTAAATAAAATATAAGATTTAAAAATTCTAAATATGAAATAAAATATTTTCTTAAAATATATGGGACTTCCATAAAATATGGGCCCAAAATTTAAAAGCATGTGGATATGGTGGGGATACATGTGGCCACCAAAAGGGCGGCACACCCCACTCATTCAAGTATTGAAGAAAGTTTATCCTCTTGGTTGACTTATCTTCTTAGGAAGAATGTTTATCCTTTTGGTTGGCTTATCTTTTTAGGTATAGCCAAGTTGTAATAAGGTTGAATATTTGATATATTTACAAAATCTTTGAATCAAGATGGGTTGATACAATAATTAAGGATTTGATATATTAAAATATAAACTTTCATGGGAATAGATTTAAGAAAGGAGGATAAGGCTCTCGGTCATCTATTTAAATCTTAATCTTGATGGTGGATTAAGAAGATGGATTGCTCAAATCTCTCACCCCACAAGTCTCATCGATAGTTGAGATTTGACCCTACTAATTAATGCAAAATCTATGAAATAGAAAATCTATAAAATGATGTCTCCCCCTCATAACATTACATACGTATTTTTCTCTGTTTTTAAGAATCCTCTCTCTCCCCCTACTCCAAATGTAGCTCTCTTCCTAGATTCCCAAAGGGGAGGCATGCCTAAATTTTTATATCTCTCTCCGAGTTGTTATTTCTCTTCAAGTATTTTATATCTCCCTCCAAGTTGTTTTGAGCTTGTTATATTTCTCTCTCCAAGTGTTTTATGTTATCTCTCTCTCCAAGTTGTTTTACGTGGTTTTTTGTGGCACACCTAAGCCTAAATGATGTTTTTCTTTGTGGGTGGTAAAGGGGTGGAGTCCCTTGCTAGTAGATCTCTCCCTCTCTCTTGATATCCATCTCTTATCTCTCTAAAATCGAACTAAGAGGTTTGATTAATATTAAGCCATTGAGTGAATTTTTGTCATAATAGGAAATCAACATATCGATCATATCCGAGCACCATCGGAAGGAGGAGATTCGGTGTGGGATGTATTAAGTCCAGTTTAATCTCCAGCAATTTTACCTTTTAAAATATTTATTTATATTTTGATCTTCTCTTCCCATAAAGCAATAAAGTCTAGTTTTGTTTGTTGAATAAAAAATTATATTTGAAGATGTAGCAATTGAGAATCGATTTTATTTTATTTTATTTATTTCAATAGTGGTTTGGTTGTAATTGGACATTGTAAGTGATCTTGCAGGTGTAGGACTAAAAAATTTTTAAAATATATACACTGTGCTTTCTCATTAAATCATTTCAGCAACACGAGGCATTTTCCCTTCCAAAGATGCCAAGGTGAGATCAATTAATGGGCTTTAAGATGCCGTTGTAAGCCTTTTTGTACAATTTTCATCTTAAGTAACATCATTAAGATGCCTTTAGTCCTGATAGAATCTCATGTTATATGTAGAGAACTCTTTGTGTATTGATGTATCAAATAATATACAAGACCAAATGTAGCTCTCTTCCTAGATTTCTAGAGAGGAGGCACAACCGGTTATGGATAAAGACCTGTTATACAAATCAAAGATACCTAATCTTATCACAATCAAGAGATATATATCTATACAAGAACACTACTTTTATCAAGAGATACATATCCATACGATACATATCCATTACCATAGGATAAGTTTTGCACTATGATCTTTGATTGGCATTCATTAAATTTATTGTTCGGTTGGTTTGTTGTTTCTTTGTCGTATTAAATTGTTGAAGGAGATCATGTACTTTGCTTAATAATTTCACCAATGTTTTGAATTTTGGGTGAAACAGTTTCATTCTGTACGAAGTAGATCACATCCTTTTTGGTAGACCAAATAGTACATTTAGTCTCGCAACCTATTGCATCCTGATTCATGTGTCCTCATTGTAGGGTGCCTTAGGGTAAAGTCTTGAATTTCATTTCTACTATATCCCTTTCATCATGAGAGACACAGAGAGAGATGCGGCCGCATAATCAACTTTCTCATAAGTACACAGTTTCTACGAGTCCACATAGAAATGAGTCCCTTTTTAAAAATACTAGTAGTATGCATGTGCATTGCACGTGAAATTAATTATTAATTGTCAATTGTGCATGCCGTTTTCTTGTATAAATAAAGAAATTAATTATTAATTGTAAAAATATTTTTTTTTTATTTTGAAATAATATTTTAAAAGGACTTTCGATTAGAGAGAGAGAGAGCTTCAAATAGATCCATCTTCATATAGAGAGAGAGAGAGCTTCAAATAGATCCATCTTCATATAATTGTATAAAGAGAAGATTGACCTACTTTGTCAGTCTTAGATAAAAAATAATTGAGAAACAATACAGTGAATACAAAAATATGAATATTTTTTTCTTATTCTAATTTAATGCATTCTGCATATTTATAGGTCAAATCAAAGCCCAAAAAATTTATTATTATGTTTTTTAAACTTTTTAATTATATCATTCACTAAATTAGCTTTACTTATATTAATATATTTTATTTATTTATAATATTAATTTTTAAATTATATTATTCACTCAATTAGTTTTACGTATATTAATATATTATTTATTTATAGATTAGTATTATTTAGATAAATTAACAAAACTACATATGCAAAATGAAAAACAAAAAAGAATATATCTTTTTCTTTTTCATCTAGCAATATAAGTTTTACTATATCATTAACTTATATAATTTGTATTGTTATTAATTATTTTTCGGTTTTTTATATTTTCGGTTATATTACTTTTATATTATTTTTAATTTAATTAATTTTATTTCTAATTACAAAAGTACATATATTATTCACTTATAATTAAAAAATATTAAAAAAAATAGAGAATATGAAAATACAAAAATATGTCACATGATAGATATAATAAAATTATAATAAACATGTATCTATTGCAATCAAAACTAATCATAATGTTGGTATTATTTATTTTTCCTCCTTTTGTGATAGTAAAAAATTTCTTCTTCTTTTTAAAATTTTATTTTGATTTTTGAAAATTGTAAGAAAAGTACAGATAAAAAAAAATAAAAGAAGAAAAATATAATTGAATAAAGAAAATTGGAAGGTTTTTTTTTTCTTTCGTTTTTACAATTATTAATCACAATGATACTATAAATTTTAAGTTTTTCATTTGCTGATGTGACTTGATTTTGAGCCAGTTATTTCTACAAAATAATTTCAATTACATTAGTACCTCTCTAATTTGTATTTATGATGAATTATAATTATGTTTTGCCCTAATTTTTGCATTTACAATTATATCATTCATTAATATAAATGAAATAATTTTTATACAAAATATAAAAAATTTCTTTAAAATTGAAAATAAATAGCATTAATGATTTCAAATATATGAAAGAAATTTACATGAGATAGAAAGCTACATTTTATATCATACATTCAATTGCTCACTAAGTAGAAATTTTTTTATTGAAATATGAAAGAAGATACATTATAACATGTGTAAATGGAAGTTATGAAAGAGTGAAGTTTTGAAATGTGGTGGAGAGAGGTAGATAAATTTTAGAAAAATTGATTTATTAGGAAAGAGAGAGAGTGAAGATATGTGAGAATATTGGCGAGGAGAGAGAAGATAAAAAAAATAGTTAGGGAAAGAGATTTATTAAGAGAGACAAAATAGGAGAGAAATTTTAGATTTATTAAGAGAGAGAGAGAGACAGAGAGAATAGGTACATAAGAATATTGGTGAAAATAGAATAGAGGGAAAAACGTCAAACAATTGTAGTATTAAATCAGTATATATTTTATAATAATTCAATATTGAAAATTATAATAAAACTAATTTATTTTTGTTACTATAAGTATTTATAACTAAATAATTACAATTGTGGTATTAAATATATTTATTACCAAGAGATTATTATTTTCCTAAACATACATTATCCTTGCATGATTCATATATCAAAAAATAAATTGTTGCAATTAAACAATGAGTATCACTTAAAAAATGAAAATTCGCCTAATGCAAAGATGATGATATAACATTCACTCATCTTCATGAAATGTTGCATGGATCCAACTATGACAACTAATACATTTTATTAGGATGTATTTTATCATCCATGAGCATAACTTCGTTGCACATACCGAAGTACAACTAATAACCAATTAAAATTATTTGGTTCTTACATTAAACACTAATTACATTATAAGCAAAAATAATAGCGAACAACTCTAATATCCGATGAGCACCAAATGAAAGCTCACTCTCACTCAAAGTAGCCAAGGCTACTATATACATCTTTTTTGCTTCTTCCATGGCGCGTAGCTGGGCTCCATCTATGGGTTCCTAGAAAGAAAAAAAAAAAAACATAAATCAAAACAATATACATTATAAAAAGATAAATAGAAATCAACATACTTATCTAGAAGAAAAAATATGATTGCCTTGTATAACTTCATTGAACATATAGAAGTACAACCAATAAACAACTAAAATTATTTAGTTCTTATATTAAACACTACACACACTCTAAGCAAAAGTAATGCTAAAAAAGTCTAACATCCAATGAGCAGCCAAATGAAGACTCATCTAGGTTCTCTCAAAGTAGCCAGCTACTATATTCATCTTCTTGCTTCTTCTATGTGTGTAGATGAGCTTCATCTATAGATTCCTGAAAAAAAAAAAAAACAGAAATCCATACAATATACAATATCAAAAGAAAATAGAAATCAACATACCTATGTAGAAAAAAAAAATGTTTGCCTTGGAGATTATTAGCATAGTCACATTTGTTGTGTGTGAAGCACAGGTTAAAAGTTGAGAGATAGAGAGAAGTGTAGCATGCATGAGAGAGGGAGAGAAGAGAAAGAGTTGTGGTGTGCATGTGTGTGAGAGAGAGCAATGTGGGTAGGAGAATTGTTAGAGGGGGAGAGTAAAAGTAGGAAGGAAAAAGATGAGAGACAGATATGTAGGAAAGTGGTATGTGGGACGGGAAGAGAAATATAGGAGATAAATGTAGGAGGGAGTGAGAGTAAATCATGAAGAGAGAAAGATATGAATTTATTTAAGTTGGGAAGAGAAAGAAATTTACTTAAATTAGGGAAAGAGGGAAGATAAGGTGTCACCACATAACAAAAAAAAGAGTTACCTATTTTTATACCTTTGCATGTATGTAGGGGGAGCAAGAGAATGAAAATGAAAATATAGAAATGTGGGAGAAAGGAAAAAATGAGTACATTAAGTTTGCTTTAATTGGGAGGGAGAGAAGATGAGGTGTCATCACACAATCAAAGGAGTTACCTATTTGTATGTATTCTCATCCATGTAGGAGATAGAGAGAGAGAGAGAGAGAGATAATATAGAAATGTGGGAGAGATGGAGAATAGAAGATGTGTCATCACACAGCCAAAGGAGTTACCGATTATTATGTATTTGCATGCATGTAAGATGGAGAGAGAGAAAGAGAGATAATGGAGAAATGTAGGAGAGATAGAAAGTAAGAGTAAATTAAGATAAATAAAAGAATTAAGATAAATAAAAGAAAGAGAGTGTATGTTGAAATATGGGAGGGAGAGACGGAAAAGAATTGAATGAAAAAAGACACGTGGAGCGATAATAAGATGGGTGTTGCTCTCACTTAATATATAATAGATAGATAGATATTTTTGAGATGGAATTTTGCCTTATCATTTAAGGACATATGATCTCCAACATGGACATTATGAATATCAATAAATAAATAAATATTATAGTTTCAACTATTTTAAGATGGACCACCCGTTGCATGCATCTTTAAGATGGATGCTTTATACCTTGGGGGATAAAAATGTTGAAATGGGTCACCAGACGCATGGAACAATTTCTTTTAAATATTAACCATTTGCACATGATTTAAACAAACCAACACCCACTCCCCCCCCCCCCCCATGTTGGGTTTATGTGGCTATTAAAGGCCTTATAAGAGCTTATATATGCATTTTATATAGTGAAACATAAACTCAGTGGGAGTGTGGTCCTCTTGTGGCTCATACTAGACAAATACTATTCACCGATATTTGGACTTGGCTCAATGTGCAAGGCCAATCATGTTGAAAAACCCAAGGTACTTAGGCATAGAGTTAAACTAATGAGGGTTCAGTAGGTCATCCCTCAATGAGGTCAGAGTAGCCCAAATGAGTGATCTGAGGGACTATATGGCCCTTGTGTGTGATAGTTGGCCTTTAGAAACTGGGCCAAAGTCTCATCCCTGTACTATCACATAACATATACATAGATAGCCGTATCGAGATAGTAATCCACTATTGAGGATGAAGCGTGTACATGTACGAGAGGTTATCCCTATGCACCATAAAGCCGTAGTTGCATCATGGTTCAAGGGACCATAGATTTGTCTCTAGGGAGAACTTGTAATCCATAGACTGGGATTACATCCACTTACCTATTTGGCTGACTTTGGTGGCCCAATCATGAACCCTTCTAGTGGACTTGGGTCTTGAGAACACTGGGTCAGTTTGAGAGAACGCTGGGTTAGTTTGAGAAAGCTAATATGGATCGTGGTTTACAGTTGAAAGAGGAGTGCTCCATTATATTCATGATTCTTAAACCTATACGGATCTGATTCCCAACAAAATTAATTTGTTTTAATTAATTTTATGTTATATGCTTTTTAGAATGATTATTTGAACGTTTGTGATTCTCTTGATATTTTATTTTTATCATTTGGATTAATTTAAAATATTTATTAAAAATTTGAGGGACCCACCATATGATATGGGGGCCTATTTAATCACATGGTAGAATTCGGTATGGCCCATGAGGGGCCCAACATATGATATGGGGCCCACCTAGGGTGACATGCCCCACCCATAGAAGCTTCCATGCTAGTTGGATTTCTATTTTGTATGAAGTCTCCTGAGCTTATAAATTAATATAATGAATTTAGTATGTCTTGTGAATCAAGATATTTTGATTAAAGGAATAAGGAATAAATATTCATAAAAAAAGAAGGTATGAATCTTTTTTTTTTATTTAAATATTTGATAAAAATATGTTTAGGAGAAAGATAAGGTTTTAGCACTTTCCTTTGAATCTTGATAGTAGATATAAGAAATAGATGGTTAAATTGACAAATTATGTGGTTTTCATGAATCCATAGGACCGCACTATTTCAGTAGACCCTTAAACCATAGACTACCATAATCCATGGTTCCCATCATATGATCTAGTATCCTAGCAAATCTTGTAGTTTTTAATAGTTATCCATTCTACAACTCTGGTTTTAGTAATTATCTATTCTACACGTAGCAAATATTGTAGTTTTTTAGTAGTTATTCATTCTATACCCCTATTTTTAATAGTTATCCATTCTACACCATTTTTCAGTCAACAAAAAAAATACTAACGTGCCTCTTTTAGGGGTGGGATGTGGTAGGCCAGGAAATCTAAGAGGGATAGAGAGATCCTAGAGAGAAAACCTGTGAGATAAAACCTAGATCTAGAGAAGCAACCTTAAGCCTTAGCTTTCCCCTGAAACCAATTTTTAGCCTAGATCAGCAAAACTCTAGTTTAACTAAGCTAAGGTTTGGTCAAGTTGGAAGAGAGAACAATATATGACAAATGTAAAGGTTTTCCATGGGTTTCCTCATAAGAGATTACATTTTGTTCTATAAATCCTTTGACGGTATCATCTTGTGGTGTCTCGACTATCCAGAAATCGACCAAGTATAAACATAATTACACAATGAAGGAGGTCATTCTAGGGCAACTACCTTAGCCCAGAAAATCTGGCGTCAAGGCTAGTATTAGACCACTATGGCTGAAGATTGTTGGAAATTCGTTAAGAGGTGTCTCAAATGTCAACTTTATGGAGACCTCATCCATGCACTGTCATTACCACTTAACTAAACACCGCCTGTATGGCCTTTTACCATGTGGGGTCTTGATATCATGAGAATGATTTAACCAAAAGCCTCAAATGGCCACTATTACATATTAATAGCTCTAAAATACTTCACAAAATGGGTAGAGGCCGCATCATTTGTCAAAATTGAAGGTTAGTATGTTGCCCGTTTCATAAAGAACAACATCATTTTCAGATTTGGCATTGTGAAGTCCATCATTACCGACAATGGAACCAACTTCAAAAATGAAAGGGTCACTAAGGTATGTATAATATTTGAGATAACACAAAAATTCTCCACACCCTACTTCTCTCAAGGAAACAGACAAGAAGATGCCACAAACAAAAGACTTCACAGAATTATAGATGGAATAATAGAAGGTGACAAAGATTGGCATGAAAAGCTAAACAACGTGTTATGGGTCTAACAAACAACTAAGAAAACTTCTACTTGTATAACCCCATACTCATTAGTGTATGGTATGGAGGCTATGCTACCCATTCAAGTCGAGATATCGTGCCTCCGAGTGCTTATTCATAAAGACTTAAATGATGAATAAAAGATTGAAACATGAGTCGCTGCCTTCGATACTCTGGATGAAAGTTGACTACAAGCAACACAAAAAATCGTAGCTTACCATCGTAGAATCGAGAGGGCATACCAAAGAAAAGTTGTTCCCCGACAATTTAGAGAATGAGACATGATACTCAAGAAGATCTTCCATACTCTTGCAAATCCCACACCCGTTAGGCAAATTCAAACCTAATTGGGATGGGACATTTGTGGTAACTCAAGTGCATGCAGTCAACTCCTATAAAATAAAAAATCATGAGGGTTATGAACTCAACGACCCCATTAATGCAATGTATCTCATCAGAAAAGGCATCACGAGTAGAATAAAATAAAATAAAATAAAATAAAAAAAAGATAATGAAAATAATGAACATTGTGAAAACTCGAAAAGGGTGTCATGGGCAAAAAAAAAAAATATCGTTCATCTAAAAAGGAGGCTCTTGTACAAAATCTCATGTACGAAAGTGCTTGCAAGCCACAATAATACTACAAAAGCAGACCCTGAAGATGGAAACTCCTTCTAATCCCTACAAGTTCCCAATATAACTAACCTCAGGAAGACATGGGAAGGCAACAAGAATTGGAGACCAATACTTCAACGAACCCTGAGAAGAATGTCGAGAACTCTCCAAGAAGGAAGCTCGACAAGAACCCAAAGAACTCCTCCTGGTTATGTGAAACACAGGATGGAAGCTCCAAAGGCCAATGGAAAATGTCAAGTCTCTTGGGCCCTCACGATATCATAAGGAAATCCTTTTCATTTTCTTTAAATAAATGAATAAAAAATAAAGAATTAAAGAAAATGACCACCAAATAGGCCTCAAGTAGCAAAAACTGTAAGGTTCATCCCTCTTTGAAATGGTTTTCAAATTGACTGTTAAAATCATCAATTTAAAAAAAAAAAAATCTCTTTCTGGAAAGGACTTCCTCCATTACTACAAGAGGTTAAACTGTTATTTGATCTAACCTCGCTCTCGAAGCCAACTTCCTATGTCTGTTGTGAAGGCTTGAAACTAGTCAGGCACTCCATGGTTGTATGAGTATAATTGCCAACTACCACATATTGGAGATGGGTGAACCTCACCAATGATGATATTGGTTAGTTCGGAAGCAATCTCTCTCTCAGCTAGATCCTTTGAGGCAAAAGGAGGCAAACACATCACCGTGTGTGTGTATGATGGTCAATTAACTGGAATTTTAGGACAAAAACCCTATAACTAGGGGGCTGAGTTTGTCAAAATTCAATCTGAAAAGTGTGTGCAAATGAAATGTATACTATGTACCTCGATGCATCAATTGCACACGTAAAGATTAACAAATAAAATACTCCATAAATGGGGCAGTGGAGAAAAAAAAATTCCCCAAAACAGGGGAAAAGGCAAAAAAAAGAAGAAGAAAATCTTTGAGCGACACTACTCGTGTCACCCAGCCCATACACCCATTTAAAAAAAAACAATTCTTTGGGTGACACTACCCGTGTCTCCCAAACCAACCTCCCCAGAAAATAAAATAATACAATAAAAAAAATTTTGGTGACACTACCAGTGTCACCCAGCCCAAGAGGGTGTCCTCCCCCTTCAAAATAACAAATAAATAAAAATAAAAATAAAAAATAAATTTGGGTGACACTACCCATGTCGCTCAGCCCTTTCAAAAAGAAAAAGTGCACGTTTTCAGACATTTAATTTTCGAAAGTTTTCAGATACTCCCTGGTGGCACAAGTCTAAACTGTCGATCAAAATCACATTTCAAAACACGTCAAATTCATGAAACATAAAAGAGCCTAGACAGGAAACCGTATAACCCCGTATGACATTAAAGGTTAGGTGTACTCAGAAAATGTCTAGCCCCGTATGACATAAAGGGTTGGGTGTATCCGTCTAGCCCAGTATGATGTAAAAGGTCGGGTAACTATCCATCATTGTATGACGTTAAATTGCTTAGAGGGCTCTATGGGTGTAGGAGCTAAAACTGCTAACTAAAAATTTGATTTTCAAAATATCTTTCTCTTTTCGAAATGATTTACTATGTGCCTTGTGTTTTTAAAAACGTGTTTTTAAAAACTTTAATTTCCTTATTAAAATCATCACATGTCCAAAGCTCGGTTCTATTTCAAAATTCCCCCTTGTTTTTAAAATTTCTAAAAAGACTTTTAAAATGAAGGAGCTTGGATACCCATATATGATGATTATTGTGTTGTGCATCATCTCTCTGTTCAGAACTGAACAGACAAACATTTTCCTAGAACAAGTAAACGTATAGAAGACCTTAGGAAACCCTTTGGAATAAAGAAAATGCCAAGTTTAAAAATTTGAAATTGTGAAAACCGGTGAAGTTAAGTGACATGGCTAAAAAATCCAACCCGAGTTTCAAGCTTGTGTAACTCACTGACATCTCATGCCGAAAACCCTAGGATGAAAATGCCCTAGGTGGGTGAGCGGGGAGCGTAATGTCTGTTAGAATCTGGATTTCATATCGGGTTCATATTGATATACATCATCTGGTCTCTATCTTCTAGATACCTAACCTTATCAAGAGATATCTACATATACATCCATAATGATATATATCAATATGAACCTGATATATTCATATTCTAACAATGTCCTGGAGGGATAGTTGGTGTGCTCTCTGACTACGAAACGTCATGATGAAATTTAAAATGTCTGCATTATCTTTTCCACTCACCTGGCCTTTGAAGGACAGGAAGTGTCAAAGAGTGCCTACTTATTTGCCACTCACTTGTCCCTCAAAGGACAGAGAGTGCGAAAGAGGGGCAACTGTAGACACCCATTTTAAAACTAGCAAATTTTGTGGTTTTCCTTAACCTATAAGACCACACTATTTCACTAGACCCCTAAACCATAGACAACCATAATCCATGTTCCTCATCCTACGATCTAGTATCCCAGCAAATCTTGTAGTTTTTAGTAGTTATCCATTCTATGCCCCTGTTTTTAGTAGTTATACATTCTACACCAAGCAAATCTTGAAGTTTTTAGTAGTTATCAGTTCTACATTTAGAAAATCTTGTAGTGTTTAGTAGTTACCTATTCTACACCTCTGTTAGTAGTTATCCATTCTACACCCCTTATGAATATGTAAAAAAAGCACTAACGTACCTCTTTTAGGGGTGGGATGTGATAGGGCAGGAAATTTGTGAGAGATAAAGAGAACCCAGAGAGAAAACTTGAAAGAGCAAACCTAGATCTAGAGAGGCAACCTTATGTGCCCCCCCGCCCCTGAAACCAACTTTTAGCCTAGCTCAGCAAAACTCTAGTTCAACCACGTCATGGTTTGGTCAAGTTTAGAGAGAGAACAATAGAGGACATACATACATAGCCGTGATTCTGATATAGGCAAGGCCTTGAAGCCTCGGGTGCCCCGAGCCAATTGGCCCTGCCAGGTATTTTCCTCATTATCTATTTTTCTCTTATTTTTCATTTATTTTATTAGATTTATAATTTTATTCTTTTTTTTTGTTTCAATTTTTCTTTGATTTTTGGATCGATGTTGGCTCCGCCACTAATTTGAGAGTGGATCTATTCATTTTTTAATAGATCTGGTCATAGATCAGAATTTGATTTTCCCCACTTTATCTCACTTTTAAAATCAATTGCTGGTACGAATATGAAGGATCTTCTTTTGAAGATCTCTCTGATTTGCACTGTAAACAACAACTCCTTTATTCAAAAAATAAAAATTTGACACATTGTTGTATGGGAATAAAAGAGAACAACAAATAAATAAATTAAAGCAAGTAAGTTGCCGAAGATTATCTCAATCAGGTTTAGTACACCCCACATCATGTCTCCTCCTTCCAATGGTGCTCGGGAATAATGATCGATCTCAATTCTATTAAGTATAGCAAAATCCTCCAAAAACATATGGATCTTATCTTGAACCAAAGTGTCAAGGCCTCAATGCCTTAGCCTACCTTAAGCCCCCTTGAGTTAACTTATAGAGATAAGAGAGAGAGAGAGAGAGAGAGAGAGAGAGAGAGAGAGAGATCTTCTAGGTGGGGTGTGCCCCTTCTTTTTTCTATAAGAGAATCTTAGCAAGAGAGAGAGATATTCCATAATAGGGCGTGGCCCCTAGAGATAGAGAAAAGGAGAGCTCAGAGAGAAGAGAGAAGAGGAAAGGTGTAAAGAATTATGAGAGGGAGAAACTCTATTTATAGATTTTCCATATCTTAGAGTTTGTCATCTTTAATGAAATCAAATATACCATTAATCTAAAGAGACTTGTGGGGTGAGATATGTGAGTGTTTACAATGCAAATTGAAGAGATCTTTAGAGAAAAATCCCTCATATCCGTACCACAAATTGATTTTAAAAGTGAGATAGAATGGGAAAAATCAAATTTTGATCTGAGGCGATATCTATTAAAAAACAAATAGATTTGCACTCAGATAAGTGGCAGAGCCAGCATCGATCCAAAAAACACAAAAGATTGAAATAGGGACAAAAAAAAAACAAGGAGAAAAAAAAACGAATAAAATCATCAATCTAACAAAATAAATGAAAAATCAGAGAAAAATAGATGATGAGGAAAATACCTGGTTGGGCCAGTTGGCCCGGGGCACCCAAAGCTTCGTGGCGTCACCGTATTAGAACCAATGCTGTGTATGTATGTCCTACATTTTTCTCTCTTCAAACTTGACCAAACCTTGTCTTGGTTGAACTAGAATTTTACTGATCTAGGCTAAAATTTGGTTTCAGAGGGGAGGAGAGGTTAGGATTTAAGGTTGCTTCTCTATATCTAGGTTTTCTCTCTCGGATCTCTCTATCTCTCTCTCTTTCTCAAATTTCCTGGCCTATCACGTCCCACCCCTAAAAAATGCATGTTAGTATATTTTTATAGACTCAAAAGGGGTGTCGAATAGATAACTACTAAAAACATAGGTGTAGAATAGATAACTACTAAAAACTTCAAGATTTGCTAGGTGTAGAATTGATAACTGCTAAAAACTACAAGATTTGCTAGGTGTAGAATGGATAACTACTAAAAATAAGAGTATAGAATGAATAACTACTAAAAATTACAAGATTTTCATAGGATGGGGACCATGGATTATGGTGGTCAATGGTTTAGGGGTATCCTGAAATAGTGTGGTCTTATGGGTTCAGAAAAACCACAAAATTTTCCAGTTTTAAAATGAGGTTTCCACACTTGCCCCTCTTTGAGGTTCAAGTGCGTGGCAAAGAAATAGACACTCTTTGATGCTCCCTGTCCTTC